TCATCACTTTTGATTAAATTACATTTATCTGGTTATATTCCTGATGTCAGACTTCATTTTTAATAGTTTTAATTATAAAATATTTCTTATGTTTTCATTTTTTAACTGGATATCACAGCATTGAAAATTCCATAAACATTTTTATTTATTTATATATTTCAGATTTTTTGTCACTTTACTCCATTTTGTAATTCTCTCTAGTTTATAACCAACAACATTGCCAATTATATATTCTTCTAAAAGGTATTGGCATATCTACCAACATAATTAGAATGATAAAATCCAATAAATTAGTAGATATACGATCATTTTAAAACTGTCTTCAAGAACCATGTGATAAAATAATTGGGAAATTAATTTGAAATCATGTTAAGTATTTACATTTGTCATTCCTTCCATTCTTTTAGGATAAATGATAATTATATGATGATGAGATAACAGCAAAATTTATTAATTAAAATACAAAATACTTTCAGTAGTATAGTTAACAAATTATTGTAATATTTGTATTTATCTTGTACATTACTTATAGAAAATAATGTAAAAATTTGCAATTCAAAAACATATAACACAAATTATATAATATACAACACAATTTGTTTTAAAGAATTTCCAATACTTTTCTTTAAAATGAAAAATAATACAATAAAATTAAAATACAAATTTATTTTAAATTAAACTGAAGGTTCATAAAAATAAATTCGGAATTCAGTTAAGACGAAGAAAATAAATTTATTTAAAAAATAAAATAAGTAATCAAAATTTTGAAGAATTTTTATATATAATCCCAAGGTAATATTCTATTTATAAATTGTATAACACTCATTAAAATTGATTTTTTTTTTTATGAAGAGAGGCAAACTATATGCAACAAATCAGAAATATGTTCACAATTCACTCCTAGATGAAATGCAAACGTACTTTTTCTTATCCGCTTAGTATAGTTTACTGCTTCTTTCATAAAATCAAAAAATTATACATCTTAGTCCCTTAAAATAATATACACGTTGATGAGAACTTTAAAATTCTAAACTATCTCAGAAAAAATTGCTAATAAATCCTTACGAACTGACTGAAGCTAAATAATGGATAATAGAAAAAACATGAAAAACATCCAAAATATCTCAAAGATTAATTTGTATGTATTATCAGTTATACAGAGTTAAAGTGTAGTTTGTTTATTTAAATTAATTATGTAAATTATTCAAAATAATCCTCATAACTATGCCCTTAGCAAAAGATACTTTTTCTACAGATTATTATTTCTATGGAAATGTTAAAAATGATCAAATTTATTTTCTTGAAATAGGTATATTAAATTGCAATCATATATAAATCAGATCATATATCTCTGATTTTTTAAAGCCAAATTAAAAATCAGACTTTTAAACTATATTTTCCATACTAAAAATTCACTCTCAATTAAATATCTAAAGGAAATTATTCATTGAAATTTGATAATTCTAAAAATCTAAATTTTTAAATTACTTTTTACCATTTCATTTTCCTGCAAGTAAAAATAATTTACGATGTAGACTTTCATCTAAGATGAAGCTTGTTTTGAATACATATGGATAAATTATAAAAATTTCAGTTTTTTTTATTTTTTATTATGTAATAAATTAATATAATAAACTCAATTCATTTAACTGTATGATAGTAATCAATACTTCATTAACAAATCTTGTAGAAACTTTCAAACCTGAAATTTCGTCTTCAAATATTTTAATGACTACATATAATTAATATTAAATTAGTTCTAAAGAAAACAATAGAGTCCTTATTTTTAATTTAAAATATACTTTATAAAAAAGACAAAAGTTCATAATTATATAATTTTGTACATAAATATTTTATTTATTTTCAATATAATTGAAAAATATTTTAAATCACTTCAAATAAGGTAGTTTTGGGTATTACGCAACACAATAAGGTAGACTTTATAATTAATTAGAAGTTGAACTTTTACGGTAAAAGATATTTGAGCTTCTCTGAGGCCAAAGCAGATGCGTATTGGCCCTAGAGAAACTCATATAAAGTATATGCCAGGCCTCTTTACGGAAGAGACTTGAATTATTACTTTTGTTCGAAGTCTCTTCCATAGAATCTCTTCTTTTGTATGAAAGTAAGAATCCGAGTTACTTTCATTAACTTTTCAGATAAATACAGATTATATCATAGTAAATTTAGCCCACATCAGAATACCATCAATACTTTATCACAGAAAAGAATCTAATATGAAATAACTCAAATTTTATCATTCTATATATTTTAAAACCTAAGTATATAATGTAAAAATTGAAGTGTTAGAAAAGACTTTTCTAGATTATTTAGCAAGACAATTTAGACAATACTATTTTGTAAAAAGAAAAAAATATATATATATATATCAATCCACAGTTTCTTTATACTGATAAAATTCTATTAAGATAAAGACACAAACAATTGCTTAAGCAATGCTCTGATTCATAATTCTCTGAAATGGCATATATTAAGTTTGAATAAAATGGAAAATTTGAAATAAACCAAAATATAAAATACTAACAAAAAACACAGACTGAAATTTGTCATTAAAATCAAAATGTGAATTTTCATTCGTAATCTATAGAAAAAATAAATCAAAAATTCAGAAAAACATTTAAGTTTTACACTAGAAATAAAATTTTTTCCTGATATAAACACAAATAATGTAACTTAAAAATATGTTTAAAAAAAAATGCATCCAATGATTAAAAGCCATTTAAAGTTTAGAGCTGTACACATTCTAACATTTGTTGTTATTTGTTTATAATTAAAATTTCAAAATAAATTATTATTTAATCTCAAAAAAAGTTAATATTTAAACAAACTTTATAAGAAAAAGAATGAATTATTTTAGCGTTTAAATATTTTAGAAATTCTAAATTATATTTATGCATTTTTTACATTTAATTTCTTTACCAAATATAAATTTTGCAAAATTATAAAATTTTTCACTCAGAATAGGTTAAAAAATAAAAAATATATATTTTTTTTCATTAAATATATAAAATTTAAATTATTTTCTAAGAGTGCTATCCCATTTATTCACATTTTGCTTATTCAACATATCAATTGAAAAAAACTGTACAAAAGGAAAAATTTTTTCTGCAGTTTAATTAGACAATTAATAGTGAACCGTGTATGTAAATATACAATACAATTATTAAAAAAACATTTTGCAAAACTAGAAAAGAATCTTTACTATAATTAGAATAAGTTTATAAATACAAAAGAATTTTAAAAAACGATTAGATTTGCCTTCAAAATGGCTATATTTTAACATTGAGTGTGTGTAAAAAAATTTTTTTTACAAGCAAATTATATAATCATTTAATTTTTAAGTATTAAACCTACCAATGCCAACTAATTTTCTAATTTTACTTCACTAATATAGCTATATAGAGATAATTGGCTTGCTAATTCGATTATACAATATGCCTCCCGGTAACTAAATACCGAAACCAACAAATTAATTTTAATATAATGGTAGATACCGTTTCGTATCGAAATTTCTCCTCCTTATTTCGGACAAATTTAATAATTTGATTTCTGATTACAACTTAACTCACTAGATGGCAGCTGTTACAAACTAGTGGAGTTAATCAATAAGTATATATTTGTTCATTTAATAAATAAGCAATGACTGCCTGGTTGGCAAGTCCGGTAATGAAAGAGTTAAGAAGAATGGCATAAGTTAGTAAAATTTTTCACTAGTTTATTCGGTGCTTTCGTTATTAAAGAAATATTTAATCAGGAAGAGATTTTTTTTTAAAAATCACTTGCTAAAATATGTTGTAATTATCTAATCTGAACGAATTACAGGGGAAAAAACAGTAAGAAATACAATTAAATTTTTCAATAAAATTTATCAAATTTCATCGACGAACTTTACTTACGGTTAAATTTGATATTATTCCACCATTAATAATATATTTAATTTCTCCATTAATATTACATTATATTCCATGCATCACATACATGAAAATTATAAATCACAATATATAATCCTATTAAGGAAACAAAATAGTAATCAGGAATGAACCAAAATTAATCTGCTTATATTAAGAAAGAAAAAAAATTCTGCCATATTAATATGGGAGAATTATTGTACTAAAAAAAATTATTCTGTTACTAGTTAAAAAATACATGAACTTCCAAATTAAGTTGTTCATTTGAAATTAAAGTATTTTAAAACAGTGTGCTTGGCAAAAAGTTCCCAAGAGCTAATTTAAAATCTTGTTAAATGTAACAAAATACCCAAAATAATATCAATCACAAAAATAAATATTGTAATGTGTTCTAATTCACGAACTAAATATACAAAGTCGACAGTATTTAAGAGTTCAAAATTAATTCTTAGAAACTGTGAAAAATAAATAAATTTCTAATCAAGATGTTTCAAAATATTTCATTAGTTTTAATATCGATTAATTAAATTGTTATAAATTTTTTATTTTTTAATATTATACTCGAATTCTAAATCAAAACTTGCAGTAGAGAATTTTCAGATTTTTCGAGTAAATTTTAGATAGAAAAATATTCCCCGTTCGTTTCAAAACATTACGCACGTTACGTCGAACCGCTTTAAAATCCATTCCAAAATTTTAATTCTTTTACAAAACTTGCCCATTCATTGCTGGAGAACAAACGTCATCTGTCAAAAACAATGCGACGGGATAAACGAAACAGAAGTAAAGCAGAAATTCGAAGACAACGCACCGGAATACGCCGGAGAGATACGGAAACCGTAGCAAACCGCCGGGAAGTTTCTAAGAGACGGCAAGACGGTTCGAAAAGGATCATCGTCCACACGGAGGACCTTTCTCTTCTTTGGTTGCGAGGACGAGAAAACTCTTTTCGGACCGCCTCCGGAAATTTTTACCCGGCTTACAACTCAGTCACACTTCCACAGTCATAAAACACATACAACAGTATTACAAGAGAGAATTTTAATTGATAAAATAAGTGAAGAAACTAACCTGGAAGACTCATCTTCTTGGAAATACTTTCCCACACAATCGCCCTGTTCGCTACATTGTGATATAACTTGTGATTTCTATCGAAAAGTTGAGGCCGGGTTTTGACGGCACCTATGAGGCGCATCTCGATATTATCGGCCTTCTCGGTCATAGCGTCTTCTGTCTCGGCGTCAGCCGTCGCTAACAAATATGGACGCGCTATTATGTCGGAGGTGGCGAACTGCTTGCAAAGCGACGCGATGCTCCAGGCGGCGTCCTTGGCAGTGTTCCAACTGGCGTCTTTCGGGCTTAGCGCATGCGTGAGCGCGTCGCTTCGCTAGCTGCGTTCTGACTGGATCCACGTGGTGAGCGGCGGCGCGCCGGCCACAACGCCAAATATCACAACATTGCGCTTTGTCGACGCGACCGCGGATATAGATTCTATTCGACGAATTTTATAAAAAACCAATTTTTTTCACTTTTATATTTTCCCCCGTTACCACGATAAGCGACATTTCGTTAATTCGTTTACAAATTAAACAAATATTACGAAAATTGTAAACTTACCTTTTCCTTTTTCCCATAATTTTAGCAAAAATCCAACGGAGATCCTTTTCCACTCAATTGATGCATTCGCCAGCAGAAGCTACCTAAGCACCCTCTAGTGTTAGAAGTTTATTATTACTGCGCATGTCTATTGTTTATAGTGTAAATAAAATTTATAGTAAAAATCAAGAATTTTAAAAATTGAAGTGTTAGAAAAGACTTTTCTAGATTATTTAGCAAGACAATTTAGACAATACTATTTTGTAAAAAGAAAAAAATATATATATATATATATCAATCCACAGTTTCTTTATACTGATAAAATTCTATTAAGATAAAGACACAAACAATTGCTTAAGCAATGCTCTGATTCATAATTCTCTGAAATGGCATATATTAAGTTTGAATAAAATGGAAAATTTGAAATAAACCAAAATATAAAATACTAACAAAAAACACAGACTGAAATTTGTCATTAAAATCAAAATGTGAATTTTCATTCGTAATCTATAGAAAAAATAAATCAAAAATTCAGAAAAACATTTAAGTTTTACACTAGAAATAAAATTTTTTCCTGATATAAACACAAATAATGTAACTTAAAAATATGTTTAAAAAAAAATGCATCCAATGATTAAAAGCCATTTAAAGTTTAGAGCTGTACACATTCTAACATTTGTTGTTATTTGTTTATAATTAAAATTTCAAAATAAATTATTATTTAATCTCAAAAAAAGTTAATATTTAAACAAACTTTATAAGAAAAAGAATGAATTATTTTAGCGTTTAAATATTTTAGAAATTCTAAATTATATTTATGCATTTTTTACATTTAATTTCTTTACCAAATATAAATTTTGCAAAATTATAAAATTTTTCACTCAGAATAGGTTAAAAAATAAAAAATATATATTTTTTTTCATTAAATATATAAAATTTAAATTATTTTCTAAGAGTGCTATCCCATTTATTCACATTTTGCTTATTCAACATATCAATTGAAAAAAACTGTACAAAAGGAAAAATTTTTTCTGCAGTTTAATTAGACAATTAATAGTGAACCGTGTNATAATATTAAATTTACTTATGATAACTATATACTGTACATTTATAAACAGCGGTAATATTAAAAATTTTATATTGCTAAATAATTTCTTCCTGTCTATTTATTATCACATGCGATGGACTTCGATTTCTAATTACTTCAATGTTTTATTTAATATGTTCTCGATCCTAATTAATTTCTTTAAGTATTATAAATCATTTTACGTATGTTTTTGTTTTATCTTTCTGTACGCTAAACTGGTCATTTGTATAAATTTCACTACAACTGTACAGTTTATTTTTTCATTATTCTGGTTAATTATACTGGTGTTTGCCCTGATTTTATACTCTATTAAAAGAAAAAAGTTTTTGATTTAAAAAGTTATCAGCAATAATTTCTGCAAATATTGTTTCCATGTTTTCTATAACAAACTTCACGTCTTATAAAATATTGTCTGGTTTCCTTTAAAGTGTTTGGGAATAATTATGATATAATATAATAAATTATTTTAAAAAGTAATAAAAAGATAGAAGAGTTTTGTTCTATAGATTTAAAAGCGCTAAATACTGTGTTTTAGGTTTAAATTTTGCTTGCCACGTAACATAAAGAGCAGGATAAATGTAAAAAAAAAAAGGTTTTAACTAAATAATGATAAATATATATACACTAACAATTATCTTAAATTAAATAATAGAGTAATTCAATAACTTATTAAATATTAAAATAAAGAGAGCGTTGTTATTATTTTGTCGCAGACAATATAAATTAAGATCGGAATGATAATGGCTGCGCATTCCGTTACAATAATGTTCACATAACGTTGATGCTTTAAAAAAAATCAAGAAATTAAATTTTAAAAAGTAAATTAATTAATAATAATTTTAAATGTTAAAAAAATACAACGCAAGGAAATCATATGTCCTCTGCAGTTTACGACTACAGCATTGGATAGAATGTTTCACGAATGAATCAATATAATTCAATCAAATATAATTAATTATGAATGAAGAAACATAAATCGAATATTATGAAAGAGGTGTAAGAGAAAAATTACTGCGTGCAACATACAGTACGAATATAGAAAATTATCAAACGAAAAGGAAACAATATGGAATGTCGCCTATTTCACAACATGTTGTTACCTCTACTGATCGAAAATAGATGATCTTATCAGAAAAATAAGAGACCGTCCTCTTAGTTTTTCTTGTGTTTTTCTAGAAACCACTCCGAGAAAAACATCTAAAATTTCTTGTCGTTATTTTCAGATAGTGTGATAGACAAGAGAACAAATAAAAGAGGGCGATTTGTTTATTTATTGTACAGTACAAAAGTACAAATATAAAGTATTATGTTAGGTAATCGATATTATGATGCCGTAATAAAATATGCATTGTTTAATAAATTGTGTCGTAATAAATAATTGGTATGTTTTTACAAAGCTACGGAAAGATTAGTTAAATACTGTATAACCGAAGGTAGACATTTTGACAAAAATCATAAATTGAGGCAGATAGAAAATACTGTATCAACAATCTCATCAGATAGTCGAGACTTGCTCCGGGGATTCAAATTATAATTCGGGTTGGAACTTCGGCAATTTTCAGGAGGAGTTTGACTCGGATATATCGAACCCTCTTACTCGGTAACGTCCACAATAGAGGTGGATGGGTAATGAAGAACGGGTCTGATATATCCGAGCAAAATAAACTTCTGAAAATTGCTAAGGTTTAAAACTGGGTCCCTCAGAGCGCAGGAAGCCTCTTAGTCTCCTCGATCATCCGACCGGTTGCACGATACATTATTAGCACAGAGTTTCGAAACAGAAATGTTCAACGATCATTATCTACTGAATTGATTTTTTCACTAAGCAAATGTCAAACGGCATCAATGCATTTGGAATGACATATATATTACTTTAGCGAATTTACGATGTATTTTATGCAGTACAGTTTATCGCTTTTATTATATTGTCTCTATATTTGGATAGAAATCATCCATCCACAAATTTTATTTTATGCATTCAACTCGCTTACGAAATAAATTTACGTGGTTCTTTTATTAATTCGCAAAATCTATATTTTGAAGAAAGTGAGTTTTTTTTTACTATTCTGAAATCTGTGTTAAAAATTGATATTCCAATATCAGTTCACTGATGGCCGAAGCGGGTAGAACTGGTTTTACTTCGGTGTAAGGGTGCATTCAGAGTTGTACACAGGGTTAGGATTAAGCGATTCATTCGAGAAAACTGTAACGTCGCTGGTCGTGGAGCGTGTCAGCCGTTGGCAATCAGCATTTGTGACGGAAAGGATTGTTTTTCTGGGATAAACCAAAATGGCAGACGAAAGGCAGATTTCTGTATTTCTTTTTATCTTTTCTCGAAAGGCCTTTAAATGAAGACGAAGAGACCAGTTTTGATGATATGTATTTTGATATCATCTTTATACTCTTCTCACTCCAGCGTAAAGTTTTTTGTTCTGTGATCGCGCTTGGCGGGATGCACACTATAGTCACCTTTATTAATACCGGTAATGTTATTATTAAATCTCTACCTTGTGTATCTGCATAACATGAGCTCACGTTTCCTGTAAACTATAGTATGTTGCAGGAAATTCCGAGCGAAAATAGTGACATTCACTATCTTGTTCATGTGACACGTGGAGATTTGCTGCTCCAGCACAACATATCGGTCCACCTTCTCTGAACAATGTGGGGCGTCCCAAGCGTCAACCGTGAACGGGATGATCCGTGCCCCAAATGACTGGACCCTAATGTGTAACGGAGAGCTCCTCATGCGTCCTAAAACAAAAGGTAGGTAAGCGCTAAGTACAGGTATACCTCGACTTACGTCGTTTCGAGTTACGTCGTTCCCGATCATACGTCGTTTGTCAAAAAAGTATATAGAAAAATAAAAATCAAGTTTAAGTCATTTTATTCGACTTTACGTCTGTCCGCCACAAATATTGAAGTCGCAATATCACTAGAAAAATTGTTAAAGCACATAAAATCATATTAAAATACTGTACATACATTTACAAGTATGTACTGTATTTACAGTACTTTACATGCATTTGTAAATTTAGATTACTTTTTTCTGTACTATATTAAAAACTAAAATTTATTTGTTTGTAAGCTTAAAATAGATCCTTATTAACCATACATTATTAAAAATGCATTAATAAATAAAATACAGAACCGGAATTGGCAATTTATGGTTTAGCCTAGTGACAAGTAGATTTGGAGACAAGTAAATTCGACTTACGTCGTTTTTCGACTTAAGTCGTTTTCCTGGAACCAATTACCGACGTAAGGCGAGGTATACCTGTATAATGAATACTTGTATACTGTACATTAATTAAGACTTCTTAATTTTCCCAATGATATGGATCCAGAGAATGATCCTTACGACTACAGGACTTTCTTTCAGTCCTGAAAGAAATTATGACTTTAAAGAAATAGCGCATACGAGACTCAAAACTGAAACTAGTACTGTATTAACATAATACTGGATTTAAAGAGCATTTAAATGAAAGATAAGCGATTTAACATTACGAGGGCTATTCGGAAAGTTCGCGGCCTCACATAGAAAAACAAACAAAATAATGTTAAAACTTTTTTTATTTTTCAATGTAATCTCCTCTGTTAGCAATACACTTATTCCAGCGATGTTCTAGCTTTTTTATGCCATCACAATAGGTCGATTTGTCAAGGTGTGCAAAATACTCGTTCACTTCAGAGATAACTTCGTCATTTGAGTGGAATCTCTTTCCAGCCAAGAATTTTTTTAGGTTTGGAAAAAGGTGGAAGTCTCTGGGGGCCAAATCAGGTGAGTACGTGGATGTGGAACTAATTGGAAGCAAAGTTCGTTTATCTTTTGTTCAGTGATTCTGGCGGAATGTGCAGGTGCATTATCGTGGTGGAACAGAACTTTTTTCTTCTTCAAGTGTGGCCTCTTTTCTTCGATTTCTTTCTTCAGTTTTTCCAAAAGTTCACAGTAATAGACAGCATTAATGGTCTTTCCTCTTTCTAGGTAGTCAATAAAGATGATGCCTTTAGCATCCCAAAAAACCGAGGCCATCACTTTACCC